ATTCAGATACATGTCCGTACACAAATCTCTGAAAATGAAAAAATTTTCGTCTGAAAAAACAAATTAAAAACTAAACGAATCACACTTGTCTATACTGCATTTACACATTTTTAGATTTTTTTTAGATCTGCTAACAACTGTTGTACAGGAAAGCGTAGGATAAAAACGGGAGTTTGCTAGTACAAAGTGTATTGCGTATATTTGGATGTGACTTCTTGTTGGGGTTTAATGGGGAGGGGAAACAGTTTCTAGGGTTTTTTTTTATTAAACAAACAGATGCAGTTGTCATGCATATGACTGTATATGTATATTTACTCACAAACAGGGTCTGGGTGGTAGACATCCATCTGTATTACAACAGGTGGTTATTATAGGAAATGTAGAATCCAGCTGTAGTCATGCTTGCTGCCACGTTACACTATGATTTCTGTGCACATCGCATTTGAAATAGATGTCCATTCAGTTTCTTGTGTCACCTACACAATACAAAAAGACACTTGTTTATTTTAAAGCTATTTAAAGTATATTTTCATCCTGAGTTGTTGAGCTTGCTTTTGATTTCATGACCTAAAATAAAGAATATCTACCACTTCCACACTGTAGAGTTTGGTGGTTAATCTCATGACTAAAATAAATAATCTCACCATGGTCACCACTGTAGTGGTTTGGTTGTTAAGCTCGTGAATTTAGTTGACAATAGTTAGTCTGGCTGAAAAAAGACAAAAGTCCATCCAGTTCAACCATTAAAAAAAAAAGTTACAATCCTATACCCACAGTTGATCCAGAGGGAAGGCAAAAAAAACCCAGCAAAGCTATGATCCAATTTGCCTTTGTGAAAGGAATCCAGGCCTTTTTTGAAGCAATCCACTGAGCTGGCCAGAAACCAACTCTTGAGGGAGTCTATTCCACATTTTCACAGCTCTCACTGTGAAGAAGCCTTTCTCTCGATAGCGTTTTGGAGATTAACATTTCTTTTCCTCCAGACGTAAAGGGAGTGCCCCCTTGTCCTCTGTGATGAAGACCTCAGGGTGATAACTCTACACCCGAGATTCACATATATGAAGACCACTGATCTATTTATACATATTGAATCATGTCGCCCCCTTAATCTCCTCTTCTCAAGAGAAGAATAAATTCAGTTCCTCTAATCTTTTATCACATAGCTGATCTCCTCCATGCCTAGTATCATTTTGGTTGCCCTTCTCTGTACTTTCCCAATGTTCTTTTTATGCATTGGTGCCCAGGAAACTGAACTGCATATTCCAGATGAGATCTTTACTAATGATTTGTACCAAGCAGGGATTATTATAATGGGAAATTAAATAAAGAATCTCATTGTTTCCACCATTGCTGAGTTTGGGGCCCTTGATCTCATGACCTACCAGTAATTTCAGCACTGCCACCATTGTAGTGTTAGCGCTTTATCTTGAGACCTGAAAAAAATTCTTGCTATGTTGCCATTGATCTCATGATGTAATGTAAAGAATTCTACCAACCTCCACTATTGTAGTACTTCACATTGACCTAAACTTAAAAGATCCCATCCATGGCCACCATTGCAGTGTTTGCAGTTCATTTTCAAGACCTAAAATAAAGAATCTCCACCATTTTTAGTGTTTGGTGCTTGATTCTGTGATCTAATATAAATAATCCCACTTCTGAAACCATTTTAGTCCTTAACGCTTGATCTCATGACCTAAAATAAATAATCCCACAACTGCCACTACTGGTTGATCTCATGATCTAAAAAAAAATATCTTACCACTGTCACAATTGTATTGTGAGGTGCTTGATCCCACAACCTAAAATAAAGATTCTCACCACTTCCACCATTATAGTCCTTAGCTGTAGATCTCTTTGCCCAAAATAAAGACTCCCTGTACAACCAGACTATAATGCTTGATATTGTGACCCTAAAACAAAGATTCTCACCACTTCCACCATTGTAGTCCTTAACTCTTGACCTAAAATTAAAAAATATCATCATTCCAATTATTTAAATTCTCGACATAATACCAGTAATTGTAACACACATTACACTTAAAAAAAGAATTAATTATAAACATTTTCTTACTGACAAAAGAATATCAAGCTAAAGAGAGTATCTTTCTATCTTGGGGTCTATGGTTCTAAGGACAACTATCCAAGAGGGAAATTCCCTTGATTTTGGGAGAATTCCACTGACTTAGTGTTGTGTCTCTGGGACAGGAAGTGAAGATAAATGATACACAGGCAGCAAAATAATAAATGAGCAGATATTTTACCCTTCTAAACCCTATCCATATGAAGCAACAGCAGACCTTCCCAACTCATTCTTATTATAGGAGAAAGAATATTCCAGCCTAAAAATTCTTAAACCAATCGCTTTTGTTGTCAGTCCTTAACTATAGTTATGTTTATGAAACAGTTGTGTTTATGGTCTTATTTTGGTCCTCTTATTTTTACCCTTTAGTATTAGAGCTAAAAGTTCTACTGATGTCTGAAATTAGAAGAGTTTCTAAGCCTTTCCAACAATAAAGTAGAGCAGTGGCCAGGCTATGGACATTCAATATTTGCATACTCTTATTGAACAGTAAATACGTTTTATAACAATTCCTTACTGAACTTTGTAACTTGAAGACAGATTTTAGAATTTTTCCCTCTCCCCTCCTCCTGTGTAAGTGCTTTATGAAAATAGTAATGGTCCTCAAAACTACAATCCATAGCTTGATTACAGGCAGCCCACTAATTAACGTTGTACTGCTTCTGTAATTGGAAAGTTTAGCATGCAGGGATTTGTCATTGTAACTGGAGGAAGGAGCTGAATATAGAGTGATGGTAGGTGATGGGCATTGGAGTTGGGGGGGAGGGGGGGGGTATTCAAGCACACAGAAATTTCTTAGGCACTGTCAGACACTCTGTCTGATACTCTGGTCTCCTGCTGGTCATACATTCAGCAATCTTATTATATAGTTTTTCTTTAGATTTACCAAAAACCATATAATATGAAGTCAATCCTAATCAACACTTTCAATTTGTATCCTATTTAGGAAGTTACTTGAACTACATATTTCAAGATAAATCTAAAGGAGATTATACAGAAATTGTACAAGAAATTTGTATAATGTATGCCCAGCTTAATTGTGCTTTGCGTAGTCCCGGGTATGACATCATCATGAAGAGTTGTCGCAGAACAATGGAGCCTCACAAAAGTAAATGCCACTGAAACACTTATGCTGGGACATTTATTACGTGCCACTGACACCTATGATGGGGCATTATTTATTTCTACTGGCAACTGATGAGGAGCATTTTTTACTACCAGCAACATTGGGCATATATTTACTACCCTCTGACTACTAATTTTTCTATTATGAAATCCAGGAAATGTTTTGCTCCAACTAGCCATGAACATAGGAACAATCTTTACTCCCTCAAACTACCATGTTAGAACATCTTTAATACCCACAGAATGCCAACGCAGGAGCATTTTTTCATTCCCACAGTTCACCAATGCAGGAGACATTTTTACTTACCACAGTCAGCCAATGCAGGAGCTCTTTCACTCCAACAGTCCACCAATGCAGGAGCATTTTAGCTCAACAGTCCACCAATGAAGGAGCATTTTCATTCCCACAGTTGCCAATGCAGGAGTGTTTTCACTCCCCACTGTCTGACAGCATTAAAGCATTTTAGCGCCAACAGTCCACCATACAAAGGAACATTTTTTTACTCCCACAGACCACCAATACAGGAAGCATTCTTTACTTCTGGAGACTACCAATGTTAGAACATCTTTAATACCGACAGAATGCCACGCAGAGGAGAATTTTCACTCCCACAATCCGCCAACACAGGAGCATTTAGCGCCTGCAGCCCCCCAACCAAGGAACAGATTTCATTCCCATAGTTCACCAATGCAGGAGCATTTTGATTCCCACAGATTGCCAACACTGGAGCATTTTCTACCCACATAGACTACTATGCAATGCTAGTACATTTTTTACTACCATTGCCCTCAAAATCTTTGGACATTTTATGTTTTTTAATTGACCACAATTCCAGCCCCCACCATTTGGACATTTAGAGTGAGCTGGCACTTGCAAATGAAAGTAAAATTGAAAAGCTTCTGCTGCAAACTTTAAGCAATACGCTGTGTTATAAAATCAGAAGGCATCATGACTTGACAGTTCCTGTCAGGAACGCCATCACGACGCATGGGTCTACACATGCGTAGGTGTCTGCCGAGACGTATATAGATTGGGCAGGGCACTGAGGACCCAGACGTACCCGTCGTTCCTGGACAGTACTAGGCAGCCACTCTCTAGGACCCAGGCTACGCCTGTCAGGTGCAGGCGGCCTATTTAAGCTAGCCCTGCACAGACACTTGTTGCCGAATGGTCTTTGTATCCTGTTACCTGTGTGTGAGTACTTCTGATCTGGATTGTTTTGACCTTGTTGCCTTCTTCCCGTTCCTGACCCCTTGGCTTGCCTGACTCTGCTACCCGGATGTTCCTGTTTAGATCTGACCTCCTAGGTATTAACCCTGCGTGTGACCGACTATCCTTTGCCTACCGTTTTGTACCCTTACCGATCCGCCATTTGCCGGCCCTGCCTGCATGACTGCTGATTTAGCTCATCCATCCACCATAACCCGCAGGGATCCACTAGGCTCCCTTACATCAGGGACTCCTAGCTCTCTGGAGCCCCCTGTCAGACTCCTCTAACCCCTGTTGGAGATACCTGGTTAGTTTGCGGACCCAAGGACATTGGTACCGGAGCGCTCCAAGTTCCATCCCCACCATCAGGGGCCCTGGTGAACAAGTGCTCTGGTGCTTAGAACTCCGCACACTGGGGAGGCTCTACCAGGGGGACTGATAGAGGTGCTGTCAGGCGGTCCGTTACAGTTCCTTTGGGATATATTTGTCTTCCAGAAACAACGAAAAAAAAAACAATAAATAAAAATTAAAAAAATACATAACAGTAAAAATAAAATAAAATGTATCAATTAACCACTTAAGGACCACCCTATAGCAGATATACTGCTACAGGGCGGCACCTGGGTGCAGAATCACGTGATTTCACATTTCCGGGTAGGGGGCACGCATGAGCCGTGCGCACGTCCTACCCCCACGCTGCCATTCGGGGCTGTGGATATCAATCACCGGGTCCCGGCTGGTAATTACCCGCCGCCACCTGGTGATTACTGAGCATCTCCAATGGGGAGATTGCTTTGTTTACAAACAACCTTCCTCCCTGTCAGCTCGAGCACCCTGCTCAGGATGGCTGTGCACAGCACAGCCAACCCGCTCAGTGTGCTTACAGTGAAGAACACACTCCCGCCCCCTAGTAAAACACTCCCTGCACACAGTTAACCCTTTGATTGCGCCTCACATTAACCCCTTCCTGCTCAGTGCCATTAGTACAGTGTCAGTGCTTTTTTTAGCACTGATCACTGTATTGGTGTCACTGGGGTGTCAGTGACACTAAGTTAGTTCCCCACCAGTATTAGAATGTCCGCTGCAGTCCCGCTAAAAGTCGCTGATGACCCCCATTACTAGTAAAAAAAAAAAACATTATCCATACTGCCATTTGTAAACACTATAACTTTCATGTACACCAATTAATTTACACGTATTGGGATTTTTTTTAGCAAAGACGTCGCAGACAACATTTTGCCTAAACTGATGATGAAATTAGAATTTTTTAATTTTTTTACTGGACATGTTTAATATCAAAAAGTCCAATAAAATGTTTTTTCTCAAAATTGTCAGTCTTTTTTTTCTCATAGAGCAAAAAATAAAAAACAAACGCACAGGTGATCAAATTCCACCGAAAGAAATCTCAATTTGTGGGAAAAAAAGGATGTAAATTTCATTTGCAGCGTTACATGACCGCGCAATTGTCAGTTAAATTAATGCAGTGCCGTAACACAAAAAATGACCTGGTCATTAAGGGGATAAATCCTCTGGAGGGAAAGTGGTAAAAAAAAAATAAAAAGAGAAAAAAGAAAATTAACTAACTACTGAATGAAAATGAGAAGGGTTTTTACTTATAGTTCGTTACTTATTCATATGTGTGTGGGGATTATCATAATTGTGTTATTTCTGTTATACCTGCTCGTGTCAAAGCTGGCGGTTATCCCTTTCATGGGCTGAGATGGATAGTGGTGGAAAGAGTTGGGTGAATTGGTGGCAGGATGCCCAAGTAAGCCCCTGAGCCTAACCTAGATGGTTGGGGCTGAACTGGCTACTCATAAGGAAAGAGACTTTGAGACACCCAATCAGGGATTCTGGAGCTGGTTATATGTTTGTGGTTTAATTATTCATTATTTACATATACAATATATTGCCAAAAATATTGGGATGTATTCATTTACATGCAGAACTTTAATGGCATCCCAGTCTTAGGGTTCAATATTGAGTTGAGGTCATGACTCTGTGCAGGCCAGTCAAGTTCCTCCACCCCAATTTCGCTCATTCATGTCTTTATGGGCCTTGCTTTGTGTACTGGTGTGCAGTCATGTTGGAACAGGAAGGGGCCATCCCCAAACTGTTCCAACAAAGTTAGGAGTAAAAAATTGTCCAAAATGTCCTGATATGCTGTTACCTTAAGAGTTCCCTTCACTGGAACTAAAGGGGCCAAGCCCAACCCCCTGAAAAACAACCCCACACCATAATCCCCTCTCCACCAAACTTTACACTTGGCACTTGGTGATGTACAGCTTGGATGCAGCTGCTGGGCCATGGAAACCCATTCCATGAAGCTCTCTACACACTGTTGTTGTGCTAATCTGAAGGCCACACCAAGTTTGGAGGTCTTTACTATTGACTCTGCAGTCAGCGACTTCTACACACTGTGTGCTTCAGCATGCACTCACCCCACTCCGTCATTTTACGTGGCCTACCACTTGGCAACTGAGTTGCTGTTGTTCCCAGTTGCTTCCACTTTGTTATAATCCCACTAACAGCTGACTGTGGAATATATTTAGTAGCCAGGAAATGTCATGGATGGATTTATTGCACAGGTGGCAACATATCACGGTACCCACGCTTGAATTCACTGAGCTCCTGAGAGAGAACCATTCTTTCACAAATGTTTGTAGAAGCAGTCTGCATACCTAGGTGCTTGATTTTATACATCTGTGGCCATGGATGTGATTGGAACACCTGAATCCAGTGATTTGGAGGGCTGGCCCAATACTTTTGGCAATAAAGTGTATCAAGCTGTGGCCGATACATGATAAAGTATTTATGCTGTCGGAGGAATTATTTAAGTTATGTTTTTGTTAAGAGAGAAGTGAACAGTGGATCAGTCATGATGAAGAAGAATGTCAAACAACAAAAAAACAAAAGAACACACACGCAAAAAAACAAACAAACCAAAACACACACACACACATATATACTGTATATATATATATATATATATATATATATATATATATATATATATATATATATATTTTATTTATTTTTTTTTCCAGGCAAAATTTCATCTAAGTAAAACGTATGATGAAATTAGAGACTAATTAAAATAAAATGTCAGCAAATCAATTTCCCCCAAATCACTCTGCTTATCCCTTCTACCTGTTCAATCACCAAGTTCTGTATGGAGGTCTCATGTAACATTACTAGGAGGTGGGGTGATACATACTTCTTTTGTCGATAACATAGAAGGTCAGTATGCAGGTATCTTGGCTGGATGTGCAGTTTGTTATACTGTCACCTACAGCTTTTGCTCCTGGGACCAAATTGCGAGAGAAAAAAACACTGCAGTGAATGTGCTGAAAAAACAGAAGCACAAATCAGTCAGACAAAATTTTTGATGTTAACACAGAGAAGTGTACAGCATATAAAGGAGTAGTGCAAATTAAAAAAACATTTCTTGTCTGGAGGATCTTGGAGATTGCAGGAGTTTATCTTGAGTTATTCTAGTCCCAGGGCTTTTTTGTAGTGGGAACATGGCGTAATGCGGTTCCAGCACCTCCAGCACTGAATGTATGTAATGTCAAGGGGTGGTAGAGTGTGCTGGAGATTCTAGTGATGCTGGCTGCTTAAGGGATTTATTGTTTTTAGGAGCCAGTTGTTGTTGGGAGTGATCTACTAACGCTGCCGAATCTATTGTTGTTGTGGGTGGTCTTATGTTACTAGGGGTCAGTTGTTGCTAAGGGAGGGATTTATTGTTGCTGGTTGCTAGAGGGTCTATTGATGCTGGCTGCAGAGAAATCTATTGTTGCTGGTGGGGGTCTATTAATGCTAGAGGGGTCTATTGTTGCTTAGGAGATCTATTTTTGTTGGGAAGATCTATTGTTGCTGGGGGTCTGTTATTGCTGTGAGATCTATTGTTGTTGGGATGATCAATTGTTGCGGGGGGTCTATTGTTGCTGGGGGGTCTATTGTTGGTGGCTGCAGGGGATCTATTTGACTGTTTTTCTTGTTATCATTACCAAATTCCATACAAATTACTTACCACCCACAAAATAAATTTTGTTTTGTTTCTGTATTATCTAAAAGGGGTGGTGCTTTGATGTGGACGGTATCAAGGGATGGTGCACAGAGGTGGGTAGGGGGTAAGACAAGGGGGGACTCAGAAGGGGGGGAGTACTTGCACCTATTCTCTTAGAAAGAAAATGTCCTGTCTAGACCTGTTCTTGAGCCTAAACCAGACCAACAGTGTCCTCATTATTATTTTTTAAGAAAACACAGCAAAACAAATTAATTAAAAAATGTAAAAAATATTTTATAAAAGGATCAAAATATACACAATCAAGGAAAAAAAAACATAAATACAGACAGAGGAAATGTCTGGGTTTGGCAGTTGCCAGGAGAAAACTAGGTTACGAGGAAAATCCCCCCAAGAACATCAAATGAAATAAACTAAAATATCCCCCCAATTATACCCTCCAAAAGACTCGCTCTCTAAATGTCTGGGTTTGGCAGTTGCCAGGAGAACGGTACTTGCCTCACTGCATTGTGCCAAGTGTAAAGTTTGGTGGAGGGGGATTATGGTGTGGGGTTGTTTTTCAGGGGTTGGGCTTGGCCCCTTAGTTCCAGTGAAGGGAACTCTTAACCTCTTGCCGTCCGCCCCTGTTTTTAGTTCCAGGTCGGGTTGCCGAAGGGCAACTCTAGGAGCGCGCACCAAGGTCCTGTCAGCACCGATCACCAAGACATTTTACGACAATTTCATGCTCTCAACTTTGTGGGAACACTTTTGGGTGTATCACCCTTCCTGTTCAACAACATGACAAGCTGTGACCAATGCGCACCAATGACTGCAAGAAAGCAAAGTCCATAAAAGACAATGGATGAGTGAGTTTACAGTGGGTGGGTACTTAGGGGGTAAAAATAAAAAATAAAAATAAAAAATAATATAAAAAAAAAATAAAATAAAAATGGAGGGACTTGATTTTGGCCAAGATTTAGGATGAAATATTATTTATTTGCAAAATTTTATAAAAAAAAACACCTGAACCATAGTAAAAAAAAAATAAAAACCTGATAGAACACCTTTGGGATGAATTAGAGTACAGAGACTGCAAGCCAGGCCTTCTCATCCCCGACATTTCATGTGCCTGACCTCACATGGATGAGTGAGTTTGGGGTTGGGGTTGGGGTGGAGGGACTTGACTGGCCTGCACCTGACCTCAACCTGATAGAAAATGTGCTTCTGGAAGAATGGTCAAACCTTCCCATAGACACCCTCCTAAACCTTGTGGACAGCCTTCCCAGAAGAGTTTGAAGTTGTTATAGCTGCAAAGGGTGGGCCAACTCAATATTGAACCCTACGGACTAAGACTGGGATTCCATTAAAGCTCATGTGCGTGTAAAGGAAGGCTGCCCAATACTTTTGGCAATGTAGTGTATATGTGAACTGGCACTCAAGCGGAGCTATAGATGTGTGTGTGTGTGGTTTTATTGTTTTTTTTAATTTGAGTTTAGAATTAATTTAACAAAAAAAAAAAAAAGCAGGATTTAACATGCGTGCAACAAATTGGTAAATTGCCCTGGTAGACAAGTGTTTAATGAAAAACCTATTGGTGGTTATGCAATGGAACATTAAATCTGACCTCTCTATGTACACCCCATTGATCCTGTTACTGCAAAGTAAAAGATTAGAACCTTTACAGCAAAAAAATCAGATTGATGGTCAAAGTACAGTCACCCTCTATGACCAGTGATATTATTCTACTATTGCTCTGGCAGCCCAAAGCAGTTGACCGGTTGAGTAGGATTACTGGTTTTGGCTAATTGCACTTTGCATGATGTCCTTATTCTTCATAATGCTTAATAAAGCATCGTCTTCTTAATAAAGGTTGTCTTCACTTACCTATCATCAGAGCTGTAGAGAACACGCAGGCTGTAGTGACTGGGCTCTTCATAGTGACTGAACGTGTCGCAGTCCTCTCTGTG